AAATGCTATAAAAAGATGCTCAACTTGTAATATGAAGTTGTTTTTTAGTATTATTCTGGATTTATTTTAATGATTCCTTGGAATGACCATGTCCTTTTTTCAGGGTGTTTAAACATGATTTTCCATACAATTGGAAGAAGAATCCCTCATTCAATTAGTTATTTGTGAAATCACACTGAACATTTTAAGGCCATGTTCCTTGCTTGAATGGCAAAATCCAAAGTTCTACATTAATAGTCCAATGTCAACATAGTGCTTATTACTGTCATAGATTTAGAGCTTGAAAAAAGGAGCTTAGATTATTTTTCCAACTCCTTTTATATATGAGGATACCGAGGCCTAGAAATGTTACTGATTTGTTCAAGGTCAGCTGAATACTAAATAGCAAAGATGGGTTGTAAAGTCAGCTCCTATGAATCCAAATTCAGTACTGTTTCTACTAGATTATACTATTTCTTAAGATATTAGAAGCATAATATAGCAAGAATTCTCTAGTGTAATGTCCCAAGGATATTTGGCTTGGTCCTCTGCTGTCAAACATTTTTATCAGTGATTTAGAAAAAGACATATATGATATGCTAATATAATTTATAGGTGATAGAAAACTGAAGGATAGCTAATACTTGGATTGTAAAGTAGGGATTTAAAAAGATATTGATGGGGGCAGCTGGGTGGCACAGTGGAAAGAGCACCAGCACTGGATTCCGGAGGACCTGAGTTCAAATCTGGCCTCAGACACATAACACTTACTAGCTGTGTGACGCTAGGCAAGTCACTTAACCCCATTGCCTAGCCAAACAAACAAACAAGCAAACAAACAAATAAATAAATGAATGAATAAAAAGATGTTGACAGGCGGCAGTAATAGACTGAATCTAATGATGAAATTCAATAGGGACAAATGCAAAAATTATATTTAGGTTCAAAATATCAATTTAAAATATATAATGGGGGAAATTAGGAGTTTATTTGAAAAAATATGCAACTCTCCTACTGAACTTAAGAAAGACTTCTGATAACCTTCCTTGTCCTCAGGCTAATCTTTCTATACTTTAAACCAGGAGGTCCATAAAGGACCATTCAGAGAGTAGGGGAAGTGAAAACTCCAGTTCTTGCCACAAAAGTTCCTACACATCCAGAAGTCCAAGCTCCTACTATTATCAGCTTTTTAAACTTGCCTGAGTGCCACCTTCTCCAAGAAATTTTCCTTGATTTTCTCCTTGGTAGGGACCTTCCTCTTCAGATCTTCACTGATCAGGCACTATTGTCTATTATAGTTATCTGTTTTGATGATTTATTCTACTGGTTAAATGTCAGCTATCTGATATAGGTAGGGACTGTGTCCCATTTAAATCTTCTCATTCAATGTCTTATGAAGTGTTCTATATACAACAGGAGATAACTTTTTATTGAATGTGAAGCTACTTTTTTGTTTTTGTTTTGTTTTGTTTTTTGTTTTTTGGTGGGGAGGGGAAGATTGACAGCAAGGGAGAGAAGAGAGACAGGGAGATAAAGAGGAAGGAGGGAGAGACAAAGAAAGACACAGACTGAGTCTATATAGACTCCCAGTTATTTCTATGGCTATTGTTTCATGAATTCTCTTTTGAAATTCCCCATTGTGTGACTCACTTCTTTATGGTAAACACTCAATGAAATAAAAATTAGCTTATTTTTATCTGGAAACAAGACTTATGATGAAAAGTACAGATTGAAAATAAGCAGTGTTTAAAAAGAGCAAGAAATTCCAGCAAGCTATGGTACTTCTACAGGCGGCAATGAGGCAATGAGGCAGGGAAGGGAAAGAATGTGGAGAGGAGAATATTTTAACAGGTCCCAGTAGTAGCAATAGTCAAGGAAATAGCACAATTCTGTCTAGGCAGAAATTTGGAGCTACTTAAGTCTCCAACTAATGCATGACTGTATTCAGTTTGGGGTAGCCGTACTCTTCACTTGATGTCAGCTGGCTGCTGACATTGTTGCTTATCCATGATCCCAGACCCTTTCTCCTCAGTGGAGTTCCAAAGTTCCTGGCCTGTGCTGCATAACTTTCCATATCCTGAATAACTTTCACTTCCTATCTTCTTTTAGTATCTCCTTCCAGATGGGAAATTTACACTTCTCTTCAGCCCTCATGCTGACAATGGGTGAAGAACACATATATGAAGGAAAGAATGCATGCAACAAATGAATCAATGTTATTCTTGTATTTCAAGCCTAGGGCTTAGGTATGGCTTTTCTCTGAAAAAAAAATCATGGGCATTTATTGTCTGTATTCATGAATCCTTGGTATAGGTGAATCGTTCCTGGATTCTGATAATACTTTATGTTGTTCTTAGCCACTGAAATTGGGAAGATAAATAAGGCAAGTTTCTAGGTCTTTTGAATAACCCACCATAGTCTAGTAAAGCAGGCTGAATATTGTGTTGATTGAATCAATGACTAAACTCTCCACAAAAAGGAAAAGGGTGACATCTTCTCCCTGCCCCCCAAAGAAATATCAAATATGATTTGACCAATTGTGCTGAAGAGCTAACAAAGATTTGATTTTATTTCTCTCATGTATTGTTTTCAAAATAAGTGAAGTTGTGTCTGAGTTTTAAAAGGGTCTTATTTGCAGAACATTTTGTCCTAAAAGAATTCATTTACTTGGACAACAAATTCATATTAAGTCAAGGTATAAAAAGGCTTTATTGAGAATTCTTGCTAGAAAAGAAAAAGAAAAGACCAATTTTGTCAGGTTTCATAAGGTAATTTATTGTGCTTTGCTAAAATATGCAAAAATATATTTTCTGAATATTGCTGCTTCTCTTTTTTAAAACTGCTGTCATAATGTATAACAAACGCTGGTTTTATTTTTGCATAAAGCAGACAAATTACTGGTCACATGACTACATAGAATAGAGTTTGTCTCTTAATATGTTAAAGGTGAAGTTAGATCTAATTTGAACTAGAAAAAAGGAAAATAGTCAACTCTGACTATTTTCTGTAAGTGAGCTTTCATAAGGGTCTGTTTTTTATTTTTTATTTAATTTGATAAATATTATTTCCAATGACATAAAATTACTAATGCTATGGAGACATGAGTCTAAAAAGATTTATTGTTTCATACTTAAATCTGAACAGTAGACTCTACTACAGGTTCTTGGCTCTTCATTTACTAGAGCCTTTGACTTATAGAAGGAATCTTAAAACATAAATCATACATTGTTAAAGCTTCAGGATACCTAAAAGTTATATCACTTAGAATAACCTCAATATACAGAGCATGACTACATGGTCATCCATGAAAAGCCTGATATTCAGCCCCAGTTCCAGGTAATTTTTCATTCATGTTATGGATAATATGCTGTTAAAATGCCAGCCATGCTCTGAAATTTTAAGGTGTTTATTTTACTGGTATAGATACACATAGATCAATATGTGTATTTGTTTTTGACAAGCAACCCCTAGACGTGAGTCTAGTTTGTAAAACCTAATTTGTGTAAGTAGCAATCAATACATTTTTTCATAGTAGAAATTATTTTTATTGGATTGCATAAGAAAGGTAAGTCCCAAGCCAATAAGCAAAGTTCCATAAAGAATATTTTTCCTTATATATTATACACATACACATATATGTATATATGCATATATATATACACATATATGTATATACATATATATATTATACACATACACATATATGTATATATGCATATATATACACATATATGTATATACATTTACATACAAACACATTATCTAAAATATATATATGAAAACTACAAAAGAAATTAGTGTCTTAATCATTTCTTTTGTATAATTTAGAATTGCATAATATAGGACTAAAAGATGTTGCATAAGGTGGTAATTTTTAAGTAAATAACATTGCCTTTGAATTTAGTAGGTGTTAAATAAATGTTGACTGAATAAAATTCTTGTTAGAGTGGAAATGGTATGTCAGGGTCTACCCTGGCTCCTGACTCAGAGGAAGTTACAGAATTATAGTTTTAGAAGTATGTTGACATATTGAAGGTATGTTAAAACTCATATTAAAGTCCAAGCCCCTTCCAGATTGAAGAATCCCACCTCCAATATTACGGACAAGTTGTCTTCTTACTTCTGCTGAATACCTCAAGTGATGGGAAACTCTCTACTTCATAAACTAGCCTACTCCATTTTTACATAATTTTAATTGTTTTAAGTTTTTCTTTATATAATAATTTTCACATATGATAACTTACATAGTCTCACATTCTGTGGGAGGCACAATAAGATTATAAGGTTGAACAGGTCAGGCACAGAGCAACCCTTCCTTCCTGATTCTGTGTGACTACAGTACTAGTTCAGAGCTTGGGTATTTTGGAGACAATGAAAAATCTGGCTATTTCCAGGAACTCAGCATTGAAATACCCTTTGGGGAGAACAGAGTCAAGAGCAGTATAAAGATGAATTAGAGAGCTTTTTAAAAATGGAGTAACTGCCCCCAAACCTTCCCTGCCTGCCAGGCACTCTTTAATGTCAATATGTAATTTTGGGACTTCCTAAGAGGGTTGGAAGAAGGGTAGCTCATCCTCTCTTCCACTCCAGTGGCCATGACATGAGCGTATGGAAGCAAAAGCCCTTTTCCTGCTCAAATAAACCTGATCCTGGATTTGGGATGAACTCTTCTATTTGTCCATTCCTGAAAATAGGTGAGTAAATAATGATTTTGAGATGGAGATATCTAGACTCTGATTCCATATTGTTAGTTTAAGAGGTTTTTGATAATGGCTTCTTTGGCCAGAGCTACATACAGGTAAATAGAGCAGGCCAGAAACTACTTCAACACACTTAGAGTTTTTAGAATTGCTATTCATGAGTTCGCATCCAGTTTGTTCTCCCAAATCAATCAATCAATCAATAGTACTTTATTAACTTTTACAAAAATGTATTTACTGAAGTCAGAAGTTAAAAAAACCTTCACAAAACTGAGGGCAAATTTTCTCTTCTGTATACACTTGGTCTTTGGGAATAGCGGCCTCAAATGGAGAGTAAAAGTGTAGTGATGCACAGATGTAGGCAACGTGAGAGGATGAGGGATGTCTTGTTAGTCCTGGCACTGGGAGTGCTTTTCTCCCTTCAAGTCCTTACCAAGTATAATTCATGATGCAGAACCATTGAAGGATGACACACATGCTTAATGTGAGGGGCTTGCACGTAGAATGGCTCCGCATCTCAGCTGACAAATCAGTCCTTTCATGGGCTGGATCAAGCAAGTTGTTTGGCTGCTTTGCTGGCTCCTCAGTGGACTTGGCTACCTCTACTCTTTCTTCTGGTTTTCACTGAAACCTCTATGATGATCCTCATGGATCTCCCAACCTTACCAGTCACCTAGATATTTCCCTTTTACAACAAGATGAGGAAATAATAAACACAAAAGAAACAGACTCACTGTTTATTGATACATGTTAGTTGTGTGCAAAGATTGGGCATTTGCTGCCCATATCTCTACCTAGCTACACACTGCAATTTCTTTTGACTCCTCAGCTAACTAGAAAACTCTTCTTCATCACACCGTACAACCCCATAATCACTCTTGGTTGGAAAAAGGGTCTCCAAGCATCCATGTATTTGATCAGAACCTGGAGGGAAATATTGCACATTCTCTGTATAACCTATCAGGAAAAGCAAATCTGAGCATGTTCAATGTGTTGATCTCTTATTTGCCACCCTCTTTCCCCCATCACAAAGAAGGCAACCTTTGACAAGGGGTGACATAACATCTTGGTCTGGCTTGCTAGGAGACCTGTAATTGCTTGGACCGTACAGAGCCTCTACCAATATTCAGCTATAATCAATCAGCAGGTGTTTACCAATACCAATATCCCCTTTATGATAGGTGTTTTGTAAAGAGTTTGAAAGTTGCTGTACCACCCACCTTTCCTTGCCTCAAATATACTCAATCCAGTAGGCAACCTCATAAAGAACCTGTTCATCTTGTATTGGTTGATCTTTGGATGATAGTTTTAAAGTCTGTAACCAGTCCTATACTCCAAGTCACTGTGTTTTAGTTGGAATTGTTAGATTTTCTGATCTACTGGCATCACCTTTGAAAAATCTGAGCTGAATTTTACATCATGATATGAAATTGAAGGAAGACTTTTGTGGGGGGTTCTTTCCATACTGAAATAAAGTCTGCCTCCCTATAACTTCTAGAGAATAAGCAAGGAACAAGAATACCTGACTTGGAGTCAGGAGAGACATATATTCAAATTCCATTTCCAACATTTACTGGGTGTATACATCATTTTGACTTGGCCTCAGTTTCCTAATTTGTCAAATAGGGATAATAAACAATCAACAAATATGTATTAAGCACCTACCTCATAGGGAAACACTGTGCTAGGTGCTGTGATACTCTCAAATTTACATTCTAATGGAGAGACATCAAGTATATATAAGTATATAAAAACCCAAATGATACCTATAGAACTATTTGGTTATTGTGGGGATTAATTGAATGTAAGAGATTTTATAAATCTTAAAATACTTGCCATTATTGGAATTTCCAGATAGAATAAGTAACTTTTGGAAATTCTAACTAGTGAGTGATCTAACATCCCAGGAATGGTGTTCATCTGAGTAGTGGCAGTTGACCAATTTTGGCCATCATTCTAGTTTTTGTCTTTTATAATCAATGTGGGTATTCATAGTAGTCAAAATAACATATTTGCTCAAAGTCATTCTTAAAATAATATTGTTAATATATACAATATTCTCTTAGTTCTGCTCATTTTGTTCTTTATTATTTTGTAAAAAACTTTCCATGTTTTTCTAAAATCATTGAGCTCCAATAGATGCAAAAAAGCATTTGAGAAAGTACAATAGCCATTCTTATTTAAAAAAAACACTAGAGAGGATAGGAGTAAATAGAGCCTTCCTTAAAATGATAGGTAGCATCTATCTAAAGCCATCAGCAAGCCTTATATGTAATGGGATAAGCTAGAAGCATTTCCAATAAAGTCAGGGGTGAAACAAGGATGTCCATTTTCACAACTGCTATTTAATATTTCACTAGAAATGTTAGCTTTAGTAATAAGAGAAGAAAAATAAATCGAAGGAATTAGAATAGGCAAAGAAGAAACAATACTACCACTCTTTGCAGATGATATGATGCTATACTTAGAGAATCCTAGACAATCGAGTAAAAAAATACTCAAAATAATAAACAACTTTAGCAAAGTTTCAGGCTATAAAATAAACCCACATAAATCACCAACATTTCTATGTATTACTAATAAGGCCCAACAGCGAGAGATACAAAGATAAATTCCATGTAAAGTTACTGTAGACATTATAAAATATTTAGGAGTCTACCTACAGAAACAAACCCAGGGACTATATGAATATAATTATAAAATGCTTTTCACACAAATAAAGTCAGATCTAAATAATTGGGAAAACATCAGTTGCTCATGGGTAGAACAAGGTAATATGATAAGAATGGCAGTTGAGTTGTCTGATGGGTCATAATACATTAATAATCAATAATCCACCATCTGAGAAAAATGCCACAAGCTACTCAGAGAATGTGATACTGATAGGAAGTCAGCAGTGAGAAAAGCTGAGAGGACAATTTTAGCCTCAGTCTAAGATGGGATCCTCCTGGCTCAGTTTCCCCATTATGTTCCTTTGAAAGGGAATATTACCCACCTGGCTATGAGGCAGATTTGATATTGCATGGCTGGAAAACTGAATTATGTGAATCCAAACAGAGCTAAGGATGTTTTATCTTGTCATATCTGGGCCCTAAAGTCTTTTCTGTCAGATTTGTGTCTTCCAGACTACAGGCCATTCATCTACAGTTGGTTGCAAATAGTGAGTACCAGCCAATGTCCTCCCATCATTTCCTGGATCCAGCCTGTGCTCGGTTCCAGTCAATCTCCTCTTTTGGACACCCTCAAGGCAAGGACAGCTCTATGCCCCTTGCCAGTAGGAAGCAGTTTCAGAAGCCAAGACCTTTGCCCTTTACCCCAAAAGAATTTGGGTCCCATTTGTTTCAGGGGGGAATGATGGGGTTGGGATTTGGACCACAGAAAGGAAAAACCTTGGACTTTCCCACATGGTCAAATCTCTGGCTTTCTCTTGAGGCTATAATCCCATCCACCAGCCTTTTTTTGTGGTCACACCCAATCTCCCAATTTCTCTGTTACCCTTAATCTAGACTAGTGCTCCATTGTTTTACCTCCCTATGGCCCCAGGCCATTTCCCACCCTTAATCCTGTCTAGGCTCCACTCTCCCTTGGCCACATGGTCCAGGTCCCTGGAGTTCTATTACCTCATAGACTGCATAGCTATTCCTAGATCCCTCCCACAGTCTTTCTGTATATAAGATCCATCTTCTCTCCATAAATATGCTTAGGTACTTATAATCTAGCCATTGCTCAGATTCTTATATTCTAGCCAATAGCTTGAGTCTGCCCAATATGACAGATGCTCTAATAAACATTGTCTTTGGCTAAAAAAAAAAAAAGAAATAGAATGGTGGATCACTGGAATAGGTTAGATATGCAAGACTCAACAGTCAATAACAAAAGTAATCTACTATTTCATAAATCCAAAGACTCCAGATTCTCATATAAGAAGTCACTATTTGATAAAAACTGTTGGGAAAACTAGAAAATAGTGTGGCAGAAACTAGGCATAGACCAACATCTCACACCCTATACCAAAAAGAGATGTTAAGACTGAGACTATAAGCAAACTAGGAAAATAAGGAATAGTTTCCCTATCAGATATATGAAGAATGGAAGAATTTATGACCAAACCAGAGACAGAGAACACTATGAACTGCAAAATGAATGACTTTGATTAAATTAAATTAAATTAAAAGAGTCTTTGCACAAATAAAGCCAATGCAAACAAGATTAGAAGGGAAGCAAAAAACTGGGAAACAATTTTTTACAACCAGTATCTCTGATAAAGGCCTCATTAGAGAACTGAAATAAATTTATAAAAATACAAGTCATTTCCCAAGTCAGTTTTCAGGAAAGGTATAAGTTCAATTGTTCTTGTTGATTCATTGTGTCTGACTCTGTGACTTCATTTGGGGTTTTCTTGGCAAAGATACTGGAGTAGTTTGCCATTTTCTTCTCCAGCATATTTTATAGATGAGGGAACTGAGATAAATAGGGTTAAACGACATGCCTAGAGTCACATAGCCAGCAAGTGTCTCAGGCCAGATTTGAAGATACATTTTTACCTATATGAAGAAAAAAAAATATTCTATATTCTTATATTTTAATTTTATAAAATAAATGCTACACTAAAATTATGTTTAACATAATTTTTAAAATTTGAATATTTCTGTTTCTGGCAATCTATCCACTGTACCCCAACAAATTCAATAAATCACCTTAATAACTCAAATCACAGCTTTATATCAATGAAATCAGAAATACTCAAAATTTTAAAATTATATTAAACATAATTTTAATATAAATTTTTTAAAAACACTAAGATATAGGAATATAAAAGATTTTTCCTTAATATGATTAAAATGTATCTAAAGTTAAAAACTGGATTTTTTTTTGTAATCAAGAAACTATAGAAATTATTCTAGTAAAATCAAGAGAGAATCAAGGATGCCTTTTGTCTTCCTATTCAGTCAATGAAAAAGGCATTTACTAATTGCTTACTATGTGCTAAAAGCCTTTGCTAAGAATCAAGGATGCAAATGGAAAGAAAGAAACTATCTCTACTCAAAAGTTTCTTAGAGTGTTAAATAGCAACAGGTATATACAGGACAAATATAAAGAGAATGCATAAACATAAATATTTGATATAGTGGTGAAATATTAGTTATAGCAATGATAAAAAAAACAAATTGAAAGATTAAGTGTAGGCAAAGCGGAGGCAAAAAAATAGTGATTTGTGAACAGTTTATGTGGCATAAATATTAATTTTTCTCTATATAGGATTCATTTATATATCTATCTTTACTCAATTTTTTTTGGAGGGGTGGTAGAGTTCTTTGGCTTCCTCATTTCTTCTCATTGACTTGGGGTTGTTTACATTCTCTGTTTTTTTGTTCTGCTAATCTAAATAGTTTATATTTTATTAATGTCCATTTTTAGAAGTTTTCAGTTTTTGTTGCAATAAAATTGGGTATAATAATTTATAATAGCTATGAGGTAGAGGTGAGAAAGGAATGTATTCCAGAAATGAAGAAATGGGCAGTGAAAAAACACAGGGGTATCCTACTGAGTGCCTTATTTGAAGAACAGAGACAGCAGAGCCAAGATAGCAGAGAAAGGGCAGGGAGAGACTCACCTGAGCTGTGCCCTAAGACCCTCTTAAAACCTTTAAATAATACCCTAAAACAAATTCTGGAGCAGCAGAAC